GGGAGGTTGCTTCGCAATAGCTTGCTATGCATTGGAAAAGGCCCGGAGGTATATGTAATTAATAAATTCTCGGCTTATGTACAACAACAACAAGTTATTCCAAAAATATTGCGCTGCAACATTGCTATAATGTTGCACCGCAATCTCTCTGAGGACGGACATTTCAACGTTGCTGCAATCCTCCAGAAACGTTGCAGCAATGTTGCGCAACGTTGTTGCAATATTGCAATCTTGCAATGTAACATTCCTGCAATCTTTCTGTGCTGTGTGGGAGGTATCGCTGACGCCTCCCCATACGAATTTAGGCACATGTAGAACACATATACGTTTTCCATATATATGCATACGCAAAATGTGTAAATGTGTTTCACATTGAAAGGCATAAATTCACATTGGAAGGTCGGTGATGCTTTCCCATGTGAATTTAAGCACGTGCACATTTTCCACGTATGTATACGCAAAATGTGTATAGGTATTGGATATGTTCCTGTTGAAAGGCATATGTGATTTCCTAACGTACATACACGAGCGTGCACGTGTGCGCCGGTCGCGGCCAAATAAGAATGATGTCATCGCATGACGCACATGGAATTGGCTGGCGCTCGTCACGCCCGGCCGGTCGGTCGGTCAGACCTGCGTAACGCGGGGAAGGTGGCCGTTAATGAAATATTTGTACGCACATCTCTCGCCCACACGGCGGAGAGACCCACCGATTGATTATCCGACGTTCGTCTTCGCAAAGATCACCGATAAGAGCCGCGCTCTCCGCCCGCGATGCATGCATTTCTTCGGGGCACCTTTCTTCCCGCGTGTAGAAAGCGCGCCGCGTTACACACGCGTGCGTTCGCGTCTCCAGTTCAGTTACGTCGGGCTCGCTCTCCTGAAAAGAAAAGAAAGGGAGGGAAAACGGGAGACGCGTAACTTTCGATCCCGGGACTCTTTGAGAATTCACGGCACGAGTCGGAGACGAGTGCGTTTGACGAAAGCCTTTTTATTTGTAGCCTCGATCTTTGGTTTTCTTTATCTAGCAGTATCTCGGAAGTGGAAGAGTCTTCTGCCTTCCAATCGCGCGTGGAAGAAACACGGCGAAATAACGAAACAGAAATCCGACATGTTCTCATCATACAATTTTTATTATAATAGTCTGTTTATTAGCGTTAGCACGTTGCCTTCGTTTCCAGTGCAACGTGCCAAGGGATTTGCATATTCGAGAAACGCGAGATCGTAAATCTGATATGCAAAAGTTCCCGACTGACGAATACTCAAAGATTTTAATGATCACGCATTTACAAAACGTTAAGAAAAACATTGCATCTCGTACAAGTATTTGTGGAAATACGATATGAATAAAATATTAAACAACGGCTTGCGAGTCGCTCGGTATCCGCATATATTTCGCACCAATTAAATATTCGAGCTATTCATCCGAGACATAATAAACAATTGCGTTGTACAAATCCGCATTTGTGAAATCGTAACATGTAACAGGATCTAGAAATAATGCCCTGGATGATACACGGTAGATTGGGTGTCGCTCAATGGGTTAGTCACTCAAATCGTCACGGCATTTAAAAAACATTTTGTCTTGTATCGATCTTCGCATGTATGTGAAGTGTGTGTCCGTGTCCGTGTGTATGTGTGCTATCAAAAGTTGTACAATAGCCAAAGTGAAGACAGGGATGAGGAAAGAGGCCCGATATTACACCCGTAACGACTAATCTATGAATTCAATTGAATTCTATGGTACGCGCGTTATCGCTTTAGATAGAATTATCATTGAAGCTGTAAGTCTTGCCACGTGGCACCTTTAAAAAAAACAATACAATGTACTGGTCTGTAACTACGAGTGAGAAAGAAAGTCAGCTATGACGTCCATAAAAGTTCACGTTCGTGTCATCACACAACCAGCCAATGTTTCAATTTTGCTGCGGTGGCTCCGGGTCGTTCGGATTGCCGCCCATTTGCCGTCTCAACGACTCGATCAATTCGGGGTTTGTGTTCTGCATCTGCTGCGCCAACTGTTGGCCCCTGAAACATTTACACACACCTGTACAAGCTGCTCTATACGACGATCTATCGAGCTTAAATCGATTAATTCCGGCCGAACTTACGCCTCGATGAGCAAATCCATGCGACCGCCTTCTTCCACGTTGCCGGACATGAGATTACACATCATGTTCTGCATCGCCGGGTCGGACAACATCTGGCGCGCCATGTTCATTAAAGAGGGATTGCTCAGAAGGGCACTCAAATCCATGCCGGGCAAATTGGGCAGAGACTGATTGACACCCAACTGGGCCAATTTCTCCTCTGCCAATTGCAGGTTGTTCCGGTAACTCTCGTTATCTGGTTCCATCGCCAAGGCCTTCTCGTAGCTCTCCTTAGCTTCTTTATGCCTGTCCAAGCTAGAATACGCTAAGCCTAATCGTCCGTACGCCTTGCTATACGAGGGATCGATAGAGAGCGCCGTGTTACAGTCTTTGATGGCTAAGGTGTGATTACCAAGTTTGCTATGAACGGCCGCTCTATTACAATAATACACCGCATTGCGAGAATCTAATGTTATTGCCCTGCAAACCAAGCAGACGAGCCAAGATTAAAAGGGGAACAATATTTGCGGGAAATTAACGGTGAGAAATCGCGCTAATACTTTGTATAATTGGCAAGGGCTTCGTGGTGCTTCTCCTGTTTCATGAGCGCGTTGCCCTCGTTCTTCAATCTTTCCGCCTCGGTCTTCGCGTCCGCCGTTGCTTCCGGACCCAGAACTGGCGCGGCGTTCTCCACCGCATTCTTGTAAATTTGATACAGATTCACGTTCGCTGGCGCGTCGGAGGCTTGCACATTGTAAGCGCTCTCCAGACACTGGATTGCCACTTCCAAACTCTCTCGCGAGTCGGCAGTTATGTCACCATCTTGCAGCTGGTCTGTCAGAAACTTGACAATCGACGCGACTAGTCCCTTGACAGCCATCAGTGCTCAGTAGATAAACGTTCCTGGAAGATGAACATGCAACCTGTGACATACGTATCAAGCGTCGTCCTGTAATTAGCAAATAAAATCGGTGAAGAAAGTTGAAAGAAAAATAGTGTCGACATAAGAAAGATGCCAGCTGCACATTTCTCTCAAATAAACGCTAGCGATTACAAGAACCTAAGGGTGACTTTGTCCAACCCTAGACTGTGTTTGGAAACATCACCCGAGTGTTCAGTGTGTGTCATTTTATCCTTGTTTAACATGCGGGGGCCAGTTTCCACAAACGTTCGGTTAACTGCTAACCGAAGGTTAATTGATTATGGTCCGGTTTATCATTTCCTGGTCAGCTGTTAACCTCTGGTCAAGACACTCTGGTTAAGATGAGAATAATCACTCTGTCGTCAGCAAACATTGCACATCTCTCGGACATGATTTCAATTGGTCTTCTCAAGATGTTTTGCATTGTGAAAAGCGCACGAGAGGGAAATTGTGCAAACGCTACATATTAAAATAGATTCTAACTCTATCAATTCAAAAAAGGTACCAAAAATCTTAACCCATTATATGATTCTATTATTAAATATTTGATTTAATTGGTGGTTCCTTAATTCCCTCTCCTTTCTCGTTGCTTTGACCTAAACACTTTTATCTTGTTACACTTTCAACAGTCATTTTCTCCGGCCTTTGTGTCCGTTATTTTATAATTTTGACTTGCTTTCTTTCTGACTTTTATCAAATGACTTGGTATCGTAGCGTATCTTTTTCCATCCTATTATCTAAGAGACAGAGAATCAATCGGTTAGCAGTTAACTGACGTTTGTGAAACCGGGCCTTAAAGTCAATCAGTGGATTATCACTGTAAATCCGTACATAGTCACGGATTTACAGTTACAGGTACATTGGTGTACTTGCAACTGCGAATCAGTGACTATTCGCTGCTTTTGGTGGTAATCCAGCGATTGACTTTTAGAGAATAACACTTTTTATCATCTTCCTAACGCAGAACCATTAATTTGTCGTTTAACATATGGAGAAAAAGGCTCATTAGAGAGCCAGCTCGGGACAGCGAATCACACAGCTGACAATTTCGTTTCACGAGCGAGCGTTAATTCTGCCGGGCGAATTAATCGCTGACCAAGTAAATTCTGACCGAGGTCACCGTGAACAGACGATCAACCCGTGGATACCGCAATTCATCCTTGGCCGACATAACCAAGAAAAACAACGTAACCAAACGGCTCCGGCGGAGCGCGATCTTGCGCGGGTCTCGACGCAGACTCCGAGAGGCGAGGGGACTCTCGGCCGAGGTGCACGAGCCTCGATCTTCCGCGGGTTACCGATGCCCGCGAAACGTCGACGCGCACAGCTCGCCTGGGGCGCACGCGAGCCTCCGCCGCGCGTCCTCGTGGACGTCGACGCCTCGTGACAGTTGACGCGAATCAACGTGCGCGACGGCGACGAGGACGACGGGAGAGCGCGAGGGGGATCGCACCTTTGTCTCGGATCAACGGCCCACCCGGAGCAGGAACCGAACGGAACACAGGAGGCGGAGGGGAGCCTCCGCTCGCGCGCGTACACGTAGCGGCGCTTGGGTCTGGAAAGTCTGCGTAGCGCGGTTCGAGGTTGGTTCGAGGTCCGTCGCAAGTTGCACCTACTTCACTACGGTGCAGTTGGTGCGCGCACTGGCGGCGAACTTCACTCGACTTCCGCTTCCGCCGCGCGCGCGAGCGGCCACGGCGCGGACTCGTACGCCCGGACAGCCAAACGCTACGAGTTTGCTGACGCGTTGCCAAAAATCCTTGGAGACAACGAATTGTAACAGACTCGGAACACAGGGTGAGTCAGCACATTGTGTCTGTCGAGTTGAACTCGTGTCGATTCTATTAGTCCCAGTCTACAATAGATGATTTAAGCCCTAAGCTTTAAGAAATTGGCCAATCACGGTCAAGTATGAGTAGAATGCGCGACTGTGATTAGTCAATTTCTTAATTGTTAGGGCTTAAATCTCTATTGTAGACTGGGACTTAACAACAAACTGCAACATGTCAGCATCGTAACACGTTACAGACATCATAAAAGGTATTTACGAACCGCTTATTTTGGATAATTCGTCGTCAACTGATTGCAGGTGTAAGCAGCGCGTTGCTGCATTCGGAACGTATTTATTTCCAAGTTAGCACATGTACGTACATACAGCAAATACAGAACAACGCATGCGATATTAGTTCGCTCACCCCGATAGGAAAATATTTAAAACATTATGTGACGGAAGTTGGATGAAACTTGGGTTGCTGGATCTATGCGTACATGTTTCGAACAACATATGCAAAAATGGAGAGACCTCTCGTCAAATATTGATAAATATTTGCACAATGTATTTCTAAATTAGTGTGTCAACAAAACAGCTGCGTTTTGGCTGACTACCTTGGCAGAATATTTGCACAATTAAATTGCTGTCGTGTTAAGACGAGCTGCCGCAAGTAAAATTCACGCGAGACGAGATGAATGCAAACTTTATTCGTAGATAAACAACGCTTTCGACAACATTTGTGTAGCATGCGGTAAACAACAATTAAAAAGGTATATTAATTTTTGCATTACTAATTAATGTAAATGCAATAATAAATTAACGATAATTACTAATACGACATTAGAAACTATACAAAATTAACAAAGAGTAAGAATAAATAGTAACAATCGCCGTGTTATAGTCTTGCTTAATCAATTAAACAGCGTGACTTTCGCATCGATCTGTAATAAATACTATAACAATATAGATACACATTAGTACGCGTACGAAATTTCTTTACGCGTCTTCATTTTATCGCCTCATTGTGAACCTTGTTTCACGATCCGGAAGATTTTATTATTGTCGTCTGTACCAGCCAAAATGTAGTGACGGTTCGCATAGTAGAATGGCACCATCGTTCGCAAGCCGTTCACGGCGTGCTGCAGTTTCATCTGGAATTTCTGAAAACATAATTACGATCGCATGTTAAATTCCTGAAATTACTTGGCATCGTTGCATTCATAAGAAATGCAATTATCACACAATGTTCGCGACATCCTATCGGGGTTTACATTGTTGAGTGAGAAATTATAACACGCAAGTGCAATGTAGGGCTGCGTTCGGAAATATCACCCGAGTGTCCTAGTGTATCGTTTTATCTTTTCTGCTCACCGTACGGTAAAACAAGGATAAAATAATACACTGGGACACTCGAACGAGGTTTCCGCGCGCAGCTTAACTGGATGGTCGGCGTTTACTGGGAGTAGACTTACCCCGGCGAACATATATTCGTAAATATAAAACCGTCCGCTCTGCGTCGTAACAATCACAAATACATCGCTGTTGGCAAAATCTGTGAGAGAAAGAAAGTTTATGCATAAATCGAATGTGCGCAATGTGTGTCTTCCATTGACGTTAATTTATCATTTTGATTTAATCGTACCGTCGGTGTAGAAGCACTCGATCCCGTTAATCTGATGGATGTGAAAAATGCTTTGGTAACTGTGAAAGTTTCGAGACGCGGGGTCGTACTTGTAAATGTTGACGGCATTCGTGTCAGGATTGTCCAACAGAACGAAATGATCCTTTCCCTGCGACACGCTCTTCACATAACGGCTTCTGCTTGCGAACGTTCTTAGCCGTTCGAACTGCACTCGAAGAAGTTTAGTGTTAAAGTATTAATGGGAAAATACGTGATGTATGTATATATGTTTAATTGTAGAGATTAGTTTTGGTGGTCGCAAAATTGCGAGGCGCACGCAGTTTGTTCGCTAAAAACTGTAACTAGTTACAAGTTAACTTTCTACATTTTACAAAGAGCTGTAACAATCGTTTTTTCCATCATTACTTTACCTTTCGCGTTGTCGGATCGAATCTGTGTAATGAAGATTCCGAGGACTCGCCGTAACAGCCGATTACGAGAAATACGTCGTGATCATTGATTTTGAAGATCTGAATGGACCAAGCGCCGTCCGTAGGAATTTCCTGCACCAACGTCGCGTTTCTCGTCGCGTTGCGCATTCTATAAAGCAAGGAATTCGTGCGATGTGTCGCGCGCACTTTATCGTAATATATCGCCAGAACTATGTACACATCGCCTGCAAATGAGAAATTAATTATATTAATCTGGAATCTCGTTAACTTTCTATCGCAATTTTAACAACCGACGTCTTCAACGCGCCGCCACATACCGTCGTGTCTAAAGATCTCGGTGTCCTTCAAGTATCCTTCGACCTTATCGAAAACGTCTTCGTGATTCTCTTCAAGATTCTCCGACGTCATCAAGGAGAACGTAGTGTACTCCGGCCTGGTTCCCGTCGAACTACATTCCTTGCTGCTCGAGACGGCGTTCGTTATCACGTTCACGCCGAACATCTCGCTCGGGTCGTGAAAGTTCTTGACGATCTCCATGGGGTTCACTTCCCACTTCCCACGCTTAGTTCTGTTCTCATTGTCGAAGTCATCGAGCTCGACCACAGACTGATACGTGCATGTACAGTTGTCCGGTAGCCCGCAAAATCTCCCGGGCTGCTCGCTGTACAGGTTCAACCTAATCGTGCTCTCGTCAAAGTGCACTACGTCGACCTTACTGACGTTGTTCCCAGGTATATCCAGATTCTCTTCCTCCTCTAGGTAGAAAAAGACGTTGCGCAAAGTTTCGGATATACGCGAGCTATACTCGACGTTCTGCTCGATTATCTTCCAATGTTCTTCCAGAAGAGCGAGAGTTTCATTTATCCTTTCTTCGGGATCGCTGACGAGAGAACGCAGGTCCGCGTTGTTCACCAAACCGGAGGTACTTAGGTTTTGAATTTCAACGTCCGCTTCGAAAATCTTGCGAAAGAGACAATTAAAGAAACGCGAGTCGTACGTAAGTTATAAATGCAATATGCAAATTTTTCAGAAACTTTGTATACACGGAGAGAATTTTCTCTTAAAAGCTACCCTGAAAATCATGTAATCGTGAAACAACGTGGCATTTTGAAGAACTTTACGAGAGTTTTCTAAAATTTTACTGCACATTTTACTAGTAAAATGTATACAAATTGTAAGTATAATTATAATACTGGTCAAATTTGTGGTAAAATTTCAGAAAAATATAAAATTCCTCAAAACGCCGTGTTGTTCCACGATTACTTCATTTTCAGAATAAACTCTAAGGGAAAATTCTCTCCGTGTATAAATATTACTGTTTGAATATCAAATAAATATTTCGTCAACATTTGCAATGACTCGAATCAACTTTAATCCTGTAAGCTTTTAAAATCTTCTAGCCCTGCAGACTTTTCTTTCAATAGAATTTCAGAAATCCTTTTAATATTGTACTAACGAGATCACCAAAGATGTCGACATCTTCATCGATGTTTTGTACTCCGTCATTATATTCTTTCATTATTTCGATATCGTTGATTCGTGGCGCGACAACGTTTCCATCGATTATCAAATCCTCCTTGAAAGTTTTTCTGCCGTTTATTATTTGCAGCTCGTCGACATCATTTAGGACAAACTCGGATGGGCGAATTCCATTAATTTTCCCTATATCCGCATTGCCTAAAACACGACGGATAAGAAAATATCAAGTACTTCCTTCGTGTATTTAAATAATTCCACAGTCAAAGCTATCGAGGCTCTCATCTTTTTCTCTCTCTCTCAAAAAAAAAAGATGAAAACAATGTTACTACAGGACCGTGGCGTAATAAATTCTGCGAAAGTTTTATCGATATTCATATTCTCTAAGTTACGAATAAATGCCATTGAATTCAAACAAATTTAAATAACTTTTCGTCGCCAATGACTTACCTGTTACTGTAACGATACCATTGAATCTCACGTCGCACGAGATATCGTGGTTTCCTTTAAGGGTGACACGATCCTTCACAAACCTGTCGAAGTATATCCCGTCCAACGTTTGCAAACACACGTCGCCCCGCACTTCGAGCTCCTCGAAGAAAATATTATCCGGCATTACGTCGTCGGAGCGGACCGCGGCGTTGACGGACGCGTTGACATCGGCATCGTTCACGTAGAGCTTCTCGATCGTGACATCCGCGAGGAACGTCAGCGGACCGACAATCGTCTCCTCGCGACTCTGCCTGACGGCAGAATCATTCAACTCGAGAATATTCACGTCGTTGATCCTGACAATACCCAGATCGCCGTTCACCGTCAAGCTGTCCGCAGTCAAGTCTTCCTCGAAGACTTTCCTTCCGTTGATCTCGATGCGCTCTCCATCATCGAGCACGGCGTCCGTTACTATACATCGAATTTGCTCGATATCTGAGTAACTACCGTTGACCGCCCACGCGCGAACATTCTTCTCAAAAGTCACGTTCCCCGTGATAATTTGATCCCTATCTTTAGTCACGGCGTTACTTAGCAAATAAGAGACGGAGGCAGGATCGATCGAGGGCTTGTCCCAGAAAACATTCTCGTGTACCTCCAAGAGATCGATATTTTTTGCCGGAATGTAGAATAAGCTGTCGTACAACTGTAACATAAAACGAGAGAGCAAAGAAATTATTTTTTTCGAAGAAATCTAGCGATACCTGAATCGATAGAATTGAAAAGATCAGTAATTGTACTGAAGCAGAGCAATTAATTGATAAGTATTTTTTTTTAAATATTGTTCTAAAAATACAAGTCAGACTGAAATATTAAAAATCCAATCTTTTATCACCTCGCGTACGTTGCGTCCGTTCATCTTTGGAGTAATCACGTCGCCCTCGACGAACAGATCGGAGAACGTTACGTTGCCCGTGATCGTTAAAGGCTCGTCCACCCACATCAGCTGCGAAGCGTTCCACTTGTTGATGAAATCCAGCGTGACGTTGTCGGAGGTGACGACGTCAGCGGTGAAGTGTCCTGTTATCGTTTGTTCCCTCGATTTCGTGAGGACGCTGGCGATCAGATTGTCAAAGTTCTGCCCACGAAGAGACTCCAGCGTGATATTCTGAACGACTAGATGCTCGATGCTTCTTTCTGACGCTATCGTGATGTTGCTCCGCGACAGTTCCTCCAAGAAGCTCTCGGCCGATATCCCGTCCACTTGGTCAATCGTCAGATCCTCCACCGTCAAGTCGCCGTTAATGACGATTCGGCTCGGATCGGAACTCACCAGATCATTCAATCGCGTCGGATCCATCTCGATTCCATTCAACCTCTCCACTTCCAAGTTTCGTACGTGAAACTCCGGTACCTTCAAACTTGACAGGTGATGATCGTCGTCGACGCGAAGTCCGTCTGCGAAGAAGACCTCGCGATTATTGAGAAGACGAACATTGAGATTATCAACCAGCACACAACGTGCTCGAACCATAGGAAGTGCCGTGGTTCCTGTGAAGTTTACAGGAGTCTCATTCATGATGTCGTCTACGCTGACGCCATTGAAAGTCAGAGCAATGATGTCCTTCGCTCGGAGCGTCTGCACATGCAACGTTTCTCGGATCGTTAGTGACGTTGGCTCAACTTTGAAGAAATCGTCGTCGGGCGCGTTCTCGTTGACAAACTGTTCAACATGGAAATTCTCGAAGCGTAAATTGGTGAAATCGCTGGGTATTTCCTCCATCGTGGTGTACAGAAAGTCGCTCTCCGCGAAACCGTTGAGATATTTCGCATTGAGCTCGTCGATGGTGATGCCAGCTTCCAAGGTAATCTCTTCAGTGATCGTCTGATCGGTGGACTTTGTCCAGTATCGATCGAACATGTCGTCCACGTTTACCGGGACATCTTCCACGAAGAGCGCGTTCTTGACCTCGATGTTCTCAACATGCAGATCGCCCAATATCGTGACATTTTGATAAATTTGTAGTCGCTTGTCGGGTAATTTTATCATAGACTCGTCCATGTCGATCACGAGATTCTCGGTGACGCGAAGATTCGCCAGTTTTACTTTGCCTTCAGTGATACAAGAAATTGTATGTTGAATATAACATTATGGATACTCGCGAGAGTAAAATTTTCGAGATTGGACGAAGTTCATTAACTAATGGTCTTTATTTTGTAACACATACTTATATTATCGCACGAATTAAATCTTTCTTGTATTATATTAGAGGAAAGTCTTCTATTATGAGACAGCCTCATTGAATTCTCATCATTCTTTTTCAAACAACTAAAAAATTACGAAAGTCCCTTACTCTGGGAGGAAAGTTCCCTATTATGAAATAGGCTTCTAATATAAGATAGTGGATTTTCAACATCCAGTTTCACACATCTTTCTCGCAACAATTACACGCACGATTTAACAATGAATTTTCCACTAAACAGATTTCACGGGCAATAAATTCGCGGAACCAACAGACGATGTCTATTCATTCAGCAGAAACCCCGCTGTCTCTTATTAGGAGCCTATCGCATGACAGGAGACTCTTCTCTACTCTTTATCACTCGCATTGATAATTAAAATCATAATATCGCTTTAAATGGTTACACTTGACAGATTAGACTAGTTAATTAATTACCTTTAATAACGTTCTCGCGAGACTTTCGCGCAGCTTCTTCAACTGGCACTCCGTTGATTGTCTCCGCGTACAAATTTTCAATGTATAACATGTTTATATAGAAATCGTCGAAGCTCTGATTTGTTGTCGTTGTCATGAGTTTATCAACGGGAACACCGTTCACCATCTCGGCCGTAAGATTTATGATTTGCGGCGAGGTCTGATACGTGATTGTACCTGCGATAAGATACCATGAAATTGCAATTACCCATAATCGTCGAGTCGACGTCGTTTCGACGATTTATTTCTCTCTGGGTAACACGGTTTAGAAGAAACTGTCGTACTCAACCTTTGATTTCCCGAGTGCGGTTGACGACGAACAGATTGCCGATCAGTTCATCGACGATCGTCCCGTTCAGGCTCTGGATCTTCAACTTCGGTATTGTCAGATCGGAATGCAATATAACTGTGTCGTTTGTATACTCGACGGAGCTGTTTGCAATGGCTGACGCAATTCCCTCGTCATTTCGCAACGTCCAATCTGCGGAGATACCATTCGCACAAATCGATATGCAAAAGAAGATATAACGCTTCGCGGAAACTGCCTCAAGTCCTTGTCAAACTTACATTCGGGCGGTATTCCGCAGAGAGACTCAACCTCGAGATCGTGCACAACGAGATTTTCCGCGCGTAGCGGATGTGCGAAGTGTTGCTCGTCCTCCGGGAGGATCATCTTCTGCGGTTGCACGTTCACGCCGTTTAAGAAATCCACGTGCACCCGGTCGATCTCCAACTCTTCCAGATACACGTCGTCGGCTGTAATTCTTTCCTTGAACCCTTCCAACATATTTGCAGTCGCTCTCGTCTCTTGCTGCCACGTGGACTGTTTTGCCTGGACGTCGTGTATATTGCGATCAAGTTCATCCAGATCTCGCGCAATCTGGTGAGGTGGCAGGATGTTTTCTTTGGTCGCAACCTCTATACTGTCCACTGTGCCGGACAGTAAGATCAAACTGTCGAAGCTCACTGGTTCTGAAATCGTTAAATTCTCCGCGGACGGTAAGAGAGACTTCCAGGAGGCCTGAGCTTCTTTTATGGCCGGCATTCTCGCTTGTAATATTTCGATCAGGTCCGATAAGCATCTTCTTGTTGCATCGATGTCCTCCACACTGCTTTCTGAAATAGAAATTTTAATCAAAACTTTTCGAATTGTCAGGCTTGGATGTTGCAAAAGAAACGCAAAAGAATTAATAAGATAACAATTGAGGTTGTACCGTAGATATTTTTTATTTTCCTATACATCCCATAGAAAATTCATTATTTCTAAACAAATATAATAAAAAGTATAAAAATAATATGGTTACGAGGTAATAACATGTACGCTTCTCTTTTTGGTTGCTCTTTCACGAATGAAAGAGTAATCAGCATTAATTATTCACCTATCGGTACCGCAGTCATCTCAACCTCCCATTGTTCCACCCAGTACACGTCCTTTTCTACAAGGATCAATGTTACATTCATCGTATGCTCGTTCACCAGTACAGTCATATCGACTATCTTCTGGTTATCCTGAAAGTGTTTAACATCCTCGCACTTCCAATCCGACGTACTGTGAAATTTGTACAACCGGACAGTATTCTGTAAATCATTTCTTGTGTTTTAACCCTCGGCACTCATCGAGTTTATTTCAATATCGAGATTTCACACTCACATCGTGCGCTGCAACTACGAAAGTATCGCCGTCCATGTGAAAAATACTTATCAGGCTATGCGGTACGATGTCAGGAAGGCTGAACCAATCCAGCAATTCATTCCCTGGGAACAGTACGGTTTTTTAAGGCCCGGTTTCGCCAAGCCGGGATTAAAGGGACGGTTAGAAAGAGACGAAAGGTGAGTTAAACTAATTGTAAAATTAAAGTTAAATAATGTATGTGAAAACGGGTGTAAGTGAAACACTTAGGACCGGTTTCACCAACATTGTTTAACTTTAAGCTCAGCTTAACTCGTTCTTTGTCTCTTTCCATCTGTTACTTTAGAAAGAGACAAACATGAATTAAACTAAGATTAAAGTTAAGCGACGTTTCGTGAAACCGGGCCGTACTTGTCTACCACATTTCTTCTCTCCGTTAACCCCGGTTGTCATCAACGTCGCTTAACTCTGATCTTAGTTTAAATCATCCTTTGTCTCTTTTTAAAAGGACAGTTAAAAAGAGACGAAAGATGAGTTGGACCGGAGTTACAGGAGGAAAGAAATGTGATAAACAAGTCTGTCGAGTGCACCGACCGTCCCAGCAGAGCACGTCGCTCGGCCCCAAGTCATTTATCATCAGGACGAAGTTGAAGTCGCCGTGGACGTAGTTGTGCACCGAGGTCGGACGCGTGGTGGACAGGAACTGTATCCTCTCGACGTGCTTGTCCTTGAACTCGTACACGTTGGAACCGAGCAGCTCGGTGTCGCTCTGGGCGAACACGATGATCGTCGATCGTAGATGCTCAAACGTGGTCAGCGATATCGCGCCGGTCGTCATCACCTCAGCGACGACGTCCATATACGTGCCGCTCCACTGGTAGATTCTGCAATGGAGATGACAAGTAAAGAAATATTTATCTCGCCATTCGTTCCCGCTGTCTATTTCGAGACAAGACTGAACGACAGATTCATCTAAGCCATTCTGTTTCTCTTTCTCAAAGCTTGTTAGACTCACACGGACGGTATGGACAATTTTTCGGCGTTATTGGCGATGATCAGATAGAGTCGGTCGTCCTGCGTGAAAAACTGGGCGTCCACGAGGATGCCTCGGGATCCTATGGTGTGGCGGAATTGTAATGGGTGATTCGGTCTTGCCGTGTGAAGACTGCACAGACCGGGCTTGTAGCACACCAACAGGTAGTTGATGTTCTCCCACACGATGCTCTGCGACATCGCAATCATGTGTTTATGTCGTGGCACAACAACGGATCGCAAATGGTGCGAGACATATCAAAAACGTAATCGAAGCGTTACATACAAACATATTTATAATACAAAAGATGTTTATATCATATTATAAAATATAAAAAAAATGTAAGGTGTTATTTTTCAGAGATATTTTTCCGCAAGAGGTTTCCGAAGACCGAGACCGACATTGATGCTAGAGAGATGATTTGTACCCTGACGAACTTAACGACGGACTCGTCTCGGATCCGATCAACCTCGCGTAACGCGTCGTAGGTCTCGTTCCAGGCCGTCGCGTTGAATGAGGGTGCCATCACGCGATTGCCTTCGAGGATGAACACCCCGTCGAGCATGTCTACGGTGAACGGCTGATAATCGCTCGTTACTGGTACCTGCCATGCTCTGTTCCAGTGTACTCTGTACGATGTTTCTTGCACTGCAAACGAAACGCTCTGCTACTGATGCTTTATCTCTCGATTGAAAGGAGAACTATTTCTATCCCGATGTAGAGCATGTTCTTATGTATTTAATTGATGTGGAAAAAAAATGGCAACTGTCGAATTCTTGGCACGATCACAGGTCGCGAAAGTATCTTCTTGAAAATGAAAAAAAAAAAAGAAGATATCCTTCACCGAAATAAACCCGTTACGCAAACTCACCCGGCGACGTCTCTTGGATTTGAATCTTGATGAATTCTTTCTTGGACTGTCGTAGCTTCTCATTCAGATATTCGTTCAGGTCTGTCGCGTGCACAATAAGTAGCTGCAGAGAGACGTAAGTTGCCAGCTGCAATGGATATCGAGACCGACGGAACGCGTGTTTAATTCTTTTACATGTACGTACATCAGGGGGGAGGGGGGGAGAAGATAACAGTACTCACGAATAGAAAGAGGAGTTTCATGGTTCTGTGATTTCGATTACGGATGCCGCGTGCCGCATCGAATCCGTCCACGGCGAGGGTCGTGCGAACATTGAGAAGTTTTCGGAAACAGTCCGCATGATATTCGGGTGATCTCAATGCCTCGCGCGTACCATAGGCAAGCGATAAATGTAAATAGACATATAGAGAATCAATATTATGAAGCACGGGGCATAAATAAGAATGTATTCTCGTTTTAAGCCCGACAACACGTATCGCTGAGAGTGACAGAAGATAACATACGTGCTACGTACTGAAAAGGCGCAGTCGCGTATATCTTATTGAAGATCGACGAATTAACAGATATAAAATAGATGCAGAACATCCCTTGGAAAAATTTACTTTAAATGAAATTAAAGTTTTCAAAAGTAATCTTTCAAATCTAAGGGTTAAAGAAGTTGAAAGTTTACTTATACATATAAGAAATTTTCTTTGGAGTAATTTTGGACACTTGAAGTAATTTTTAAATAGCCAAGCCTGTCGAAGTTCCCGCTAGAGGACCGCGCGGTATAGCACTTTCTCGTAAGAAGAAAATCGCACGCGGTATTATAAATTATATCACATACCTCTCACAATTCTTAAAGTTTTCTTTTAAACTCTTGAAGTAAGCTTTAAGTTTGTCGTACATAAAAGGGTACAAATTTATTTTTTATATTTTTTACTTTTCTAAAGTAAAATTACAAGGTTTTCTAAGATGTATTTTCTCAAGGGAAAATTTCCTTGGAAAATTTGTGAAGATCTCTCAGACAGCATGCATGTCTAAAAAACATCTTTAAGACATCTTTAAGTTGTCTTTTAGACATGTATGTCTGAAAGATGTCTTAAAGATATCTTTATGACGTCTTTTAAACTTGTGTGCTATCTGGGATGTTTTAAAAGAAACAGACACGTGTAAAAAGTATATTGAAGACGTCTTTGCGATGTCTGTTAGGCGATCCTCTTTAGGATGTGTTTAAATGTTGAAAATAATTTAGTTTTAAGAAACAATATTAGCTGCTTTCCTTTTACTCAAGTGATACTGAGTCACTCAGTTATGTGAGTATTTTATACTCAGATACGACGTCATTAATGTGAGTCTATTGAACTCACTAAAGCACACGGTCTTGATCGTGTGCAAAAATTCAGTTAAATCTGGTTGAATTTCACTTCTCAAGAATCAAAAGGAACGTGCATTCAATTGAGTTACGACGTCACAAGTGAGATTTATCTGAGTTTTTATGTAAAAGGAAAGCAACTATTAGCACGTACTTGGGAAAATCTGGATAATTTTAGCAAGGATTTTACATTCAAACACGCTTTCGGAACAAGCGAGATGAATCATTTGCTCTCTCAAGCATGCTATTAGCATTTGACCAGCCAGAGAGAGAGAGAGAGAGAGAGAGAGAGAGAGAGAGAGAGAGAGAGAGAGAGAGAGAGACAAGTCGAGACGAGCGTCGCGAGGGACGTTCGTTTTCAAATTTCGAATCCTCGCTCGACGGCAATTCGAATTTCCGTGCTTGCGCGCGCCAGGGAGGACCCGTTTCAATCGAACGTCGCGCCCTAAGTGATGCGCGCGCACTGGCCCAGCGGCGAGTGGCACAGCGCGTCCCGATTGGCTGGGTGGTCGGCGGCGACGCGACGGAGCGACGAACGGCGAATCGCGGGCGCGGTCTCGATCGCTCGCTCGAACGTCGACTCAGGGGCACGGACCACACTGTGCCACTGTGCCGCCGTGCGAGTGCGCGCCACTGCGAGTTCCGTTAGCGCAGCGGAGAACGGGAGAGAAACAGTTCGGGGATCGTCTCTCGGACGCCGGTAGCCACGCTCGGGCCTTCGCCACGCCCCTTGGTCGTCCTCGCCGTCCTCGCGGGACGAAGCGCCGGGAAATCGGCCCGTCTGCCGGCGCGCCGGGAAACGCGAGACGCCGCCGCGAGAACGCGGCCGCGCGCAGCTGCGTGTGCGAGCGAGAGCACGCGCGCGTGCGCGCGTGCGTGCGCGCGTGTGTGTGTGCGTGCGAGCGATCCGAGAGCATCGGGCGCTCTCGCGTCTCCGTGTGTGCGAGAGCGCGACCGCGTGCGGGCGGTTCCCACACGACGTCGTCGTCCGTGCAACAAGTGTCAGGAGGCGACGGTGTTGGTAGCGGTCGTTGGAACAGTGTGCGGTGCGCTACGCGGAGTAACGTCGCGCGCATGGTGCCGCTGGATCGGCGCGGCTGACAGGATTGCTCGATCCGAATCGGCGCTTTCTACGCGCGTTTCGTCTCGTCAACGTCGTCATCGTCGCCGCCGCCGTCACGACGGCGTGCTGAGAGGAAGACCGTCACCGGCGAGGGCGCGGGGATGGGCTGCGCCGTGAGCACCACCGGCGAGAAGGAGGCCGCGGAGCGGTCCAAGAAGATCGACAAGGACCTCCGCGCTGATGGCGAGCGCGCCGCCAGCGAGGTCAAGCTCCTGCTGCTCGGTAAACGCACCCGCCTTACGATAACCCCCGCGGTTACTCCCGAACTCGGGGCCCCCCGTCCACCGTCTCCGCGTAGCTGCCGCGCGCCTTGCCGAGTACCAAAAGTGTCGACGGTTTTCTCTCGTCGCCTCCCCCGGAGACGACGGTAGACTCTTGCATCCCCTAGCTCCACGGCGCGCCTATACGCCGATCTCTCTTCTCTCGTTCCTTCTCCCTTTCTCTCTCTCTCTCTCTCTCTCTCTCTCTCTCTCTCTCTCTCTCTCTCTCTCTTTCCTTCCTTCCTTCCCTCCCTTCCCCTTTCTTTCGCCTCGTACGTCGTCTTGTCTCGTATCGCGCGTGTATCGCGTATCGGACGCACCACGCACCCGCCGAGCGCTCCCGAAGGCGCCGCGCGCGGCCCACACGATCTTGCAGAATCACCGTC